AACGCGCGTAAGAGACACACGATAGGATAGCTTGAGAATGGACGTGGCGTGGACATAGACCAATCACAAATTGCCAACCCCTTTACCAACTCCATTTACGCGTAGCCAACGCTTGCTGTTTTCTAATTTTCTCTGACGATGGCTTCTCGTGTGGAGCCAAAAGCTCAGAATAAAATTATCGTTTCAGTTTATGCCTAATTTCTAGAAAAAACACAAGTTTTCAGCTTGCTTAAGTGGAGTCAATGTTAGAGCAAGTGTGCCCATTGACACTGAACGGAACTCCTTGGCTAATGACGAGTGCCACTACTGCTGATTTAATCCTAGCTCATATATTCCATGTATCGTAGTCTTACCCGTCCCGAGCCTAGGTGTTCGAGCTTTCTTTTTGGTGAGCCTCCGGCCTCCACGTTCGGCTCCCTCTGCGTTGGGTTTATCTCTTGTCATTCCTCAACTATTTCGGTATAATCGTATCGAAGCCATCGACCTAGGTCGCCTGAGGCGTCCAGGGCAAGGTAGCGAGTTCCCAGCTAGCACCGAAATTAGGTCTTGTTTTCTAGTTATCCTGCGATCGTAGTCAGTGTATATGTGTTTGTGCGCGCGCCATTTGAGTATTTCAGTATCTACGCTGCTCATGAATTCATTTGAATCCTCTTTTTTACTTGTTCAGGCAGTTGATCGAGAATATTGTCTGTATTGGTGGCACCTGCATGACGCCCGGTTTTCTACATCGTCTCAGTGAGGAAATTAAGATTTCCCTCGAGCTACCTCGTTACGCCTCCCTTGCTGCCTTGAAGGACTCCGTCAAGTTCCACAAACCACCCTCAAAAGCCAATTACACTGCCTGGCTTGGAGGTAAGACTCCGTCGTTCCTGTTGATTGCATCCATGTCTCCTTCTGTGTTTTCCCCCCTTTTGAATTTATATGCTAACCTGCTGCACATTCCCTGCATGTGTTAGCTTTCAAATCTAAACGAACCATACCGCAATAAATGGGATCTCACCTTTAGAAGAAGATGCAATCATTGGAACAAGAATTTATTTTCCTGAAGTTTCGGATTCTGTCGATAATCCTTAATCATAGGTCATCGTAGGAAACTCGGAGACATGCGCAGATAAGGGTGATACATGCACAGGTTGCACGGTATTTA